GGGAGAGACAAAGGGAACAGCTCATTCTACCATGTTGCTGATGTCACCCCCCCCCCATGCTCATTTTATGCCAGATCATATAAACATGGAATGGGGTGGAGGGCATGCTCCTCCCTTTCTAAAGGCTGACAACAGGCCTTATTGGTGAAAATACATTTGTAGCAGATTAAATTGTTAAAGTATTTAAGAAATAAGTTTGAGACATATCAAGCATGGACAAATGGGAGGGGGAGATGTGGAGGTGATTTGGCAGGAGGAAATGATGAAAGAGAAGATACCAGGGATTAGGAGAAAAGCTTGTACTTATTGGGGGAGGCGTCCCCATCAAGAGGATGCTGTTGCGGTCTGGGGCTCCATACTCTTGGGGGGTTGATCAGCCATGGCAGAGACACAAGGCAGCTCTCACCTGGGTTTTAGGTCCATAAACCTGGCAGAATATCATCTAAAATGAGATTATACCAATATTCCCTTGTGGCAGTGCTTCTCAAACTTTAATATGCGTATGAATCACATGGGGCTCTCAGTACAGAGCAGATTCTGGTTCACAGGTCTGGGCTGGGGTCTGAGGTTCTGCATTTCTCATGAGCTCCAAGGTGCTGATGATGCACCTGGTTGGTAGCCCATGTGACAATTCACTTCAACATGGTTTTAAAACAAAGCTTGGTTGGAGGGAAGAGTAGCCATCAGAGCAGTTATTATCAACTTGACTACAGTAGAACCACTGGGGAGCTTTTTCAAAACGTGTATGCCCAGGTCACTCCAAGAGCAAAAAACTCAGAATTTCTGGGGCAGCCCTAGGCATCTTATTTTTGCCACCACTTCTCAAGTGATTCTAACCTGCAGCCTTCAACGAGAATCACCAACTTAAAAGTAAGGCCTCTAAAGATTTGCACCCATTAGTATCCCATATGTGAGAGAGTTAGCTTCAGCAGTGGAAGGAAGAAAAATCAAAGTTCAATCAAGTAGCTACCCAAAATAGTCAGCCCTACATAGGAACCTTTGTAAGCCTGTCTCCTGTTGTGATGTTTAATGACTGTTGGTAGTGAAGTGATGCATACAATTCTCTTGATAAAAAGATAAAGACAAAGACAAGATTAGTTTAACTTCAACCCTGTGTCTGCAGGGTATTTGTGCCTGAGCATGTTTGGAATGGGTGAAGAGGCAGCCCCTCTGGGATGACCACAGTCTACACAGGGGCAAGCAAAGGTACCCCAGGAGTGGGCCTCCCACAGCCAAGCTGATGACAGCACATGCTGCACAGTGTAAAGACCAAAAGCTCAGTCATATGGGCCAGTCTTGCATGCTAGTTCTACCACTTTGTAGCTATGTGACTTTTGAAAAGTTGATGAACCTCTCCACGTCAGTTGCTTATCTGTAAAATACGGATAATAGTACTTCCTGCTTCACAGCATTGTTGTGCAGATCACATGATTTAATATGGTAAAACTCTGTGAGCAGTGCCTGGCAGAGAGAAAGTGCTAATGAACATTAGGGAGAGCTAGGTAACATTGTCTCTGGGTTTAAATGCCAGTCTCTTGCCATGAGTGGCACTGCATGTCGTCGTTCCTGCTCAGAATTACTGACTCTGAGAGTGAATGGCTGCAGGGAGCCCAGAACTGTGGCTCGTGCCCAGCAGAGACACACGAGGGGCAGCCACGCCTGGCGTGCAAAGGCCCGCTCTCTGCCTTGGCAGGAGGAGCACTCTCCAGGCGTTTCTGCGGGTGGCTTTCTGATTGGTGCAGCAGGACAGGGAGCCCCTGGCCCTGGCAGCTGGGTGCTCATCCTGCTCAGGGATTGCTCTGACCCTCAGTAGATGAGCTGAGTAAATGTCCTCACCCACGGATTGGCCAGACAAAGGAGCTGGGCTCTCGCTCTCCTGAAGCTAGTGCTTACGCCAGGCACACACCAACACTGGAGTGAGCCTGCACCCGGCATCTATCAACGGCGCCATGAAATGGTGACTCTCATGGCTGCACGAAGTAGGCCCCCAGCCCTGTGATGCTGTGCGTCCTGTGATGTGTCCAGTCATGGAACAGAGCGGAGGATCTAGCAATACGTGGGAGGACTGGCAGCCACATTATAAATCCTGCCTTAGACACAGAGGTAAAGGATCTGCTCGTGGGTCTGCAGGGGAGGCAGGGCCAAAAACCTCTTCTGGGAGCCTGCACACTGTAAAGGGAGGGTGCCCATGATCAAATGCAGGATGAAAAGTCTATTTTTAACATCCTCACCAAGCCTCCCTTCGGAGGAATGCAGTCCCAAGCCTTCATCAGGACGGACAAGTCAAAGCCAGCCCTGCTTCACCACCTTCACTCTGTGTTCTGCTGGGAGCTTTTCCAGCGAGGGGGCCTCAGAGGGCTGCAGGCAGGACTAGAAGTGGAAACAAGCTTGCTACTGTTCCCTCCAGAAGCTCGCCCGATCGATAACCCGTCCTTTCAGGATCCTGGCCAGATCAACGCTATTTAGTGGGAACTGGACATCACTGTCAATCTGCAGCTCCATCACAATGGCAGCTGACACTAACCAAGCATTTACTCTGCAGCTGGACCCTTTACATGGATCCTACTTTCTTGCCTAACTGCACAGCTGCACTACAAGACAGGTACTCTTAGCACTGCTCTTACAGGAAACAAACAGGAAGCTAGGGAGGTAGGGAGGTATCCAAGGCAAGCTATGGGGAGGTGGCAGAGCCAGAGTTACACCCAAACAGGGGGACTATGGAGGCCCTGCTTTCTCACCACCAAGCTCAAATGCCTTCATCTTTTTTCTTTTTAGCTGAGGCAGGTTTGCCCTAAGCTAACATCTGCACCAATCTTCCTCTTTTTCTATGTGAGCTGCTGCCACAGCACGACTGCCAACAAGTGGTGTAGGTCTGTGCCTGGGTAACAAACCCAGGCCGGCAATGCAGAGCAGCTGAACTTAACCACTAGGCCATGGGGCTGGCTCTTCAAATGCCTTCGTATTTACACGGCTCTGGGGCTGAGGTTTTTCTCAGAACACAACTTTGTTTTTCTGTATAGGTGTTGGTAGAGACTGCTGTGCTCTGATGCTTCATCCTGTCTGGACAGGTCTGCTGAGTCTTTACTCTGGCTTCCAGATACCCCAGTGAACACCCCTGACTTGGCAGTCCATGGCCATGTGTGTCTGCTGTTCAGGAACTACATCTCGACTCCTCCAGATGCTCATTCAAAGCCTGGTTCCTGTGAGGATGATAAAGAAAACCCACTCCACCTCTCGAGGGTAGCCTGGGAATCCCTGGGAGCGCCACCCCCCCCCCCAAGGGTCCTGCACCAACCTGTCACCCTGCAGCCCAGCTCCATCAGCAGGGGACCAGCTGGATGGTGACATGCGAATTTTCTTCACATGGCAAAGAGCCAACAAGCTTCCTACACACAGTCCTGTTTCTCGCTATGATCAGAAACTACATTTGTCATTTTAAAAGCGAACTGGCATGAGGTCTCTAAAATAGTCAAACTCATAGAAACAGAGGGTAGAATGTTGGTTGCCAGGGGCTGGGGGTAGGGAATAGGGAGTCACTAGTCAACAGGTATGAAGTTTCAGTTATGCAAGAGGAACAAGTCCTAGAGATCTGCCGTACAACACTGTGTCCACAGTTAACATTCCTGGATTGTACATTTAAAAATATGTTAAGAGAACAGATCTCATGTTAAGTGTTCTTACCCTGGTTAAAAAAAAAAAAAAAAAAAGGTGAACCTGCAAATAATAAGAGCACTCATAGGTTATCTCTTAAACTTCAATTTAAAAATACTGGTAGCTATTCTATGTCTTTATTTACACAGAGTAAAACACATAAAGTGCTAAAACACAACATTCTCTCCACCTACGTAATGTGCATTTGAGAAGTCATCTATGTTGTAGTGAGGGGCCAGCTGTCTGCTTCTCTGTCTTCTGCTAGACATATGAAAACATTCCACGCGTGCAGAAATAACTTTCTCTTAATTTGCACTCTTTAAATGCCACACGATGCCATAAAGCACATATACTGGCCAATATAGGTACTAAATACTACCCATGATAATGTTAACCACGTGAGGGGACACATACATTAATGAGCTTGATTGTGGTGATTATTTCACAACATATCTGTCTGCGAAAACACCCAGTTGTACACCTTAAAGATATTCAACTTGTGTTTGTCGATTCTACTTTGTTAACAATGAGAAAAAGAAGAAAACAGAAAGCATGCCCGAATGCTCATCAACTACCTGCACACTCCATTAAACGGCAGTCACCACCAAAACAAAAACCCATGAGTGCTAGCAGGCTTTCTCTTTCACCATAATTTCAGAATTCAGAAAATCATTGCCTCCTTGAGGTCTGAACATGTACTCCTGTCATAACATACAAATCTTGAAGATATTCTTTTCAAGAAATGAAAGGAGAAGTATTCTAAGCAGATTAAGGTACAGCTTTGGAATGATGATGTTTCCAAACGCCAAAGGCACATGCCCGCAGCCCAGAGCCAGGCTTCTGAGGTACATGCTCTCAGGAGGGCTGGAGGCGCAGCCACTCGGGCTGCAGACAGAAAGAGAAGGCTCTCCAGTGACAGTTACGAGTGCATGCAGCAGGGTGCAGGAGCGGATGGAGTCAATCAATACTCGTCCCTCTAAATCTCATACTTGGTTTCTAAGACTATTTTTAAAATCAAGTGCTGTTCAATCAATCTTAGGAAAAACAGACTAAGATAGCAAGAGCAGGAGCAACAGGCTGTGTGGCAGTCAGGACAACCAGTACTGTTATTTCCCCCCTTAAAGCCTCGGAGCGACCAAAGCATGCAGAGCATTGTGAGGAGGATGCAGAGGATGCGGCTGCGCAGCCTGCGCTGCACAGGGCAACTCCTCGGGAGTCCCCGCAGCAATGATCAGGAGGGCTCGCCCAGCGCTGGGGGCCAGCTCCCCACACGCATCCCAGACGGAGAAGCAGCGTGAGCAGGGGCACACACACAAGCAGCGCTGGCGTCAGGGGGAAGCGGCACTCACCTCTGCGATCTTCAGCACCGCACTCCCGTTCAGGTCAAAGGTCGGGGTGTAGGTTATGCAGAGTAAAACCTTTAACAACCAGGAGGCGAGGGAGGGAGGAAGAGAGAGTGGTCAGAAACTCAGAAGCAGGTTTCCCTTTCACAAGCCATTCATGCAGCCCTGTCTTCGTGGCTCCTTTGCTCTTGGCTCTACCCGCTTCTTTCTGTCCCACCCACTGCTCTCTGATTGGTGACCACACGTTGTCCAATAAAATAGAAACTAATACTTTAAAAAGCAGAGGTCGCTACCCCTCCCTAAGGGAAGGACCACTGCAAGACTGGCCAGAAATGGCATTCCACATTCCAGCAGGTCCGCCCAGCAGTAAAGAAAACCACACGTGGGCTCTGCGCTGGGCTGTGTGAATTGTCCAGACTGGTATTTTTACTAAGTGTGGTTATTATTGTCCTCATTTTACCTATAAAGAAACTGAAGCTCAGAACAATTAAACACACAGGTAACAAGCTGTGGAGCTGAGATCTGAACCCATGTAACCTGATTCCAACTCCTGAGCCACTTGCAATACCGTCTCCACCTCTCGCTGCACCCCAGCTTCACTGGACTTTCCTGTGTCTGTCCCCTTCCCAAATTCACATGGGATCAGAAATTCTTCCACGGGTGCTTTCCTCTTCCCTCCTGTAATTTCCCCTAGAACGCTGCCTAGGGATTACTGAGTAGTCCCAGGTTCCCCTTATTCACCAAGATATGTAGACAATGAGTTGATGACATTTGTAAGACCTTTAAGGACCCTTAAAAGTTTCACTTTCTACTTGGAGAGCTATTAGGAAATAGATCAATAAAAGCCCGGAGCATTTTAAGAATTGCTTCTAATTTTGTAGACAGAGACCAGGCTCTCCCCTGTCCATTTGGCTTCTGAGCTGCAACTCTTCTCACTGGCAGTCCTGCCTAGAACCTGGCCTGTCAGCACAGCCTTTTGCAATACTTCCCTGGGTCTGCCCAGTTCAGGAAAGAGCACTGGAGCCCCGCATGTTCACTGGCACAGGCTGTAACCTCAGCACACCCAGGAGTGCAGGACCACATGGCACAGGGCCCTCCCTGGTGGCTCCCTCTGAGCTACCAGACCCCATCCCGGGAGCAGCCACTCCTCGGGGAGGGCAAATGTGGATGTAATTAGAGAAGAAAAAAGGGACTTCTATCCATTTTAGCTGTGAGGTTAGATAAGTTAGCTGTGGGTCTGCTCCTCAGCCTTTTGACCCTGAAGTGCCTGATAACCAAGAGATCCAATCATCTCAAAGCCACGCTGGCTCGACAGAGGGACTGTGGAGTAAATGCCCTCAGCCTCACGGGAAAAGGCTCTCCTTTGTTCAATGACTGTCTTTGGGGGCCGGGGTTTGGTACACAAGAAGGGATGAAAGCTGAGGACAGTGCCACCAGGACCTGGTCTGGCCTGGGAGAGGCCACCTCTTCCCACACGTCTGTCCTGGGGGCGCCTCTGCCTGAATCCCTCCTGGCCTCGCCCTCCTGTGTGTGCTCCTCATGCTGCTCACTTTTTGGGTTGGTTTCTCTCAGCTCTCGACTCAAGGTCACCCCCCAGAGAGGAGGGGGCCTTCTCTGACCACCGTCTTTAAAACGGCCCCTATCACGTATCATTGTTTCAATCTTCCCATTAGACTAAACATCCATGGGCCATCTGAAAGGCCCTCGAGCTTTCTCGGATGACACTTTCTTACTGTGATTTTTGCTACCTTGCACAGCCTCCCTTTCTTGAGTCATTGTTTTTACACCATGTTTCACGGCAGGCTGGTGGGTGGGTATCAGAGAAGAGCTGGTGGAGGTGGTAGTCTGTGGAGAAGGGGAAGTGAGTTTGTCCATCTGGGCTCTTGGTTTTTTGAGTATTTATAATAACAACTGACAATTGGCAATACTTTACAATATGAAAATAATGACGACAAAGATTTGTCTGAACTGGTTAATTAATGTTACTTATAAGACTGACGATTGACTTTCTGCCTTCCATCGTTCTGTGCATTCATATGAGGTGTGCAAGAGTAGGTTTGGAAAGACGTTTTCAAAACCAGCTTGGTTTTCTGTGAGCTGGAGCTGCATTTTGGTAGCAGTGGCTGGAGGAGGTGGGAGCAGCGCCTGTGGTGGCGTCTTTGTGGAGGGTGTCAAGGTGGCAATATATGATTGCTCAGGGCAACAGAGGAGGCTCAGGGCAACTGAGGAGGCTCAACTCCCTGTGCCTCAGGGAAGCCAGCAAATGCAGAGCGAGGCCTCCCAGCGCCAGTCTGAAGGAGCTGAGGCTCCCTGCACCCAGCCAATGCTGATGCTGTTCAAAAGATCTTTGAGACAAAGCTCTCCACATCTAATGTCTGGCCATTAACATCTGAGGACTCACTGAGCTACACGCAAAAACTAAAAACAATAACGACAGTGGAGCACATTAACAAAGCTGGCTCTTTAAGCTCACGCACAGTTTACGTGCTGGAAGCACAGCAGGTTTCAATGACAGGGCTGACAGTGCCCACGGTCCCCACGACTCATGAGATACATAAAGAGCACAGGGTCTAGTGAGGATGACGGAGCAGACAGAAATGACTTACCAAAAAGGATAAACAGATTAACGTTCACATGCCCAATGCCTAGCAAGCGTTAATTCACTGGATTAAAACAGAGACTGGGTGTAGGAAACCTGGGGCCACAGAAAATTAATTTAGCATGTCTGACTCCCACTGCATAATGAGAGGGGAAAGATTCACATTCTGAGCACGTCGGCCTCAAGGCAAACAGGAGGACTAAATCCCGAAGGCAATTCCATTAAAAATACATCCCTCACAGGGTCTTCAAAGCATATTGACTATATTATCACTGAACAGCAGGAACCTGAGTGAGAAGGCAGCGTCTTACAATCGCGCCTGCTGGCATGGCCTCCACAGATGAGCTAAGAGAACAGGAAGATAGGCGCAAAGCCTTCCAAGGAAAGGGAGCCATTGTTACAGGGCTAATAAAAACCCCAACATCAAAACACAATAACTGAACAGCCACCATGTGCAAGGGGCAACCCCTCAATTTAAAATGTGTATAGAAACCCTGGATAAAAAAGACTAGATGGAAAGGAGAAAGTGAAGCTGACTTAATGCCAGACTTGGGCACAGTGACGAGAATCTGAAAAGCGCAGTCACGTCAGGAAAAGCGACGGAAAGATGTAGGTGCCAAAGATAAGCATTTTTTTCTCATTTTGATGAAAGTTTCTCAACCTCAGCACTACTGACATTTTGGGCCAAATAATTCTTTTTGTGGGGGCCTGTCCCGTGCACTGTAGATGTTTAGCGGCATCCTTGGCCTCTACCCTCTAGATGGCAGTGGCACTCCCTCCCCAAGTTATGGCAACCAAAAATATCCCTAGACAGTGCCAAATGTTCCCTGGGGGACAAATGGCACCCTGTCAAGAACCACCCTGCTAGGTCATTCTCCCCTCACGCCTGTGGGATGGCTGCTTCCCAAAGCCTCGGGGCTGGAATGCAGGCCTTCCAGGGGGTCTGGGGCCAGCCACTGAGATGGCGGCTGAAGATAGCACAGGCAGCTGAGCTACAATCCAACCTTTATCCAGATCTAAGGAAATGAATCAAATTATTTTAGTGCATGAAACTGCTACCACTCATGACTTAAACTGATTTACCTTAGGCTGAAGTGAGAGGTAATCAGAGAAACCACTTTCTGGTTCACCCTGCCCAAATTCTGGCAAATAGCTATTCTGAGAGATTTTTTTAGTCAATAGAAGATTTTTCTAAAACTCCAAGTCCCCAGTTTGGAAAACACTTCAAATGACTTATTGGTTTACAGTCACATCTCAGGTTCTTTTCAGGTTCATCTGTTGTCACCAGCAACAATTCACTGACATTCCTCAGATGTGCCCTTGGCACTGAATTCTAGGAAATACTGTACCAGTGATATCCATAGAAAAAATATGTAAATATTAAATTATAGTGAACTGAGCTAATTCACTCAAACAAATAAATGAACTGTTCTTATTTTCTCCTCCCTCTAAACTCTCTCCCTTGGCAAACTCTCTTAACTCTGCCCTCAAACCAGAGGCCTCACAAATCTATTTCTAGAGCCAATATTTCTCCCAAGTTTCAGCTTATAAACAACACAAATGAACATACGCAATTTCATGAAAATCATGTCAACTACACTCAGTCTCCAAGACAGTAAACAGCTAACATTTCTTCCTGTTCTAAAATTCTTAATTATGCAACCATTATAACTATCCTTAAAGGAATAAACACAGTCATGTGGGAAATGCTTATAATCTAAAGTTAAATGAAAAGAAAAAAATAAAATCCTATATACACAATGACTAGAACTGTGAACACATAAATAGATATGATTAGAAATGAATATACAAAAATCAGTCGTGGTGATGGGGCTGACAATGAGCTTTTTCTATTTTGGAAAACCTGTAATGTTAAACTACTTGTATTTCTTTAAATTATTCTTTTAAAATATTATAATTCTTTGATATCTGACAATATGAACTCACTAGCTCTCCCCTAAGTTAACCCCCTCAAACCCATCATTCAGCCAGAAACTCTGGCTCCAGGTCCCGTAAGCATCCTGGATTTTCCCTTCTCACCTGCCCACTGCCTCCACCACTGCCAGTCCCCAGCTGCTCCCAATTCCATCTGTACATCAGCTCAGCGCACTCAGCTGCGGGGGACCCTCCTACTGCCACCACCCTGGCTCAAGTCCTGGGGACCTGTTGCTTGGGCTCTCAAAATAAGTCATTTCACCAGTGCCTCCGACTTGTTCTCTGGATTCCCAGAGCACCCTGCAAAACCCTGCCCCCGCCCCACCCTTCAGCATCCAGCAACCACTCTCCTGCTTCCTCCGAAGGCCCTGATCTCCACCCACTCCCAAATGCTTACTCTGACCTGGCCCCTCAGCACCTGCCTCAGCTCCCCTCCAGGCTCCGTGTCCACCACCCTCGCTAAGCCCAGCTTACACCTGTGCCCTTCGCCTGCAGGACTTTTCTTCTCCACCAGGAAGGCCCTCCCTCCTCAGGACAGGGT